CATACATACATACATACATACATACATACATACATACATACATACATGGGGGGAAATGTCTCTTCCGCATGAACTTTGTCTTACAGGTGTATGAACTTCTCCGCACCGTTGGCAGAAGTGACTCACAAAGTCTTCCCACAAAGCAAGGAAACAAAAATCCCAGAACCCGTGATTGTGAATAACAGAACCAGAGTCCGGTGTTAGCAGACAATTGTTGCGAAATGCATTAGGCAGTGACAAACTGAACGCCAGCATTTCGGAAGCCTTCTTACCTGAAAGTCCGGACACTTCAGACTTCGGCAGGTGCCGCGCTTTTAAGACAACCACGGTGAGCGTGTTTGTGGTGGACTGGTAGCAGAGAGACACCAGAAGCTCACCCCGTCCAGAAGACTTCTAAACAAAGAGAGAGACGGGAAACGCGGTTTGGGTTCTGAGCTTTTGTGCTCTCGCCACAAAACATCCAACAACATAATAGCTTTGTTACTTTAGTGTCATGTTCTTATTTACTTTTTTATTTTAACAAGCTAACGAATCTGAGAATCTGCTTTTGTGCAGCTCCCTAACGACTAAAACCAGTGTCCGCCATCTTGTGGTTGTTTCCGGTACTACAGAAAGCTAAAATTTGCAAAGCTTTGACCACACCCAGTCCTTAAACATGTTTTGAAAGGTATTTATATTATTTTTCCAAGAGGATTTTTTTTTTTTACTATTGGCATTATTAGCACTTCAAGTCAAGCCAGAGAAGATTTATTATGAATCCAACAATTATTCTAGATAAAGATCATGATGGAGTTAGAATTCTTGTCCTTTCATAGCCAAATTCTTTCCTCAGTCTAAGAAGAAAAATAAATAAATAAATTTAAGTATTGGAGAGAACTGACTCAAATTTTAAAACTTGCTTTTGGACAGTAACATAGATTCCTTCATTACAGGCTACCTATATTTAATTTCATATGAAAGACCTTACCTAAGACAACGAAGAAAGCAAAGTGCAAGCTTTAACTAAAACTAACAGTAACATAGGACTTGCTTATAATTAAGAACAGCTAAAGAAAAATATGTGAGAGAGAGAAAGAGAGAAAGGGGGAGAGAGGGAGCTCCAGCCTGATGAAGGCCACCTAAAAGTAAGCACTTGTACAAAAAGGCACATCAAGGAGGTTGGGATGGCAGCCGGGGAGCCCTCTGATCCTTAATGGTCCCAAACAGTCAGGTGCCTCACACAAGCCATGCAACTCTCTGGACCTGGACTTTCACTATTGTCAGGACAAACGAGATGGGAAGATGGTTACAGCGTGCTCTAAAGATATGTTCAGCTCCAAAATATTATCCAGGAGTTGCCAAAGTAGAACGAGTCTGAAAGCAGAGCCATCCACATCTTTGCACAGCAGAAGAATGGGCATTCATAAGTCAACAGAACAGGGTGACCCCTTGTTCAAAAGCAGTTTCGCGAAAAGTCCATTCGAATCCCACATCCTGAGGAGGAATTGGCTTAATTTTTAATCTCAGTTTCAAGTTCAGTTACTCTGACCCAGAAACACTTTAATAACCTATGATAAGAGACATGCATGTGAACTTTAAAGGAACAGTCTTTTTCAAAATATTTTAATGGAAAATTTAAAATAGCTCTTACATAAATGATACACAAATACCATCATAAGTATGTTCTCCTATTTTATGCACAAAGGTTCCTTGAGCATTTCTGTTGTGGGTTAAATTTCCTTTTGCTTTCTCTGTTCTCTTGTTCTCTGTTAACTGTCACCCACAGTAATTAAGGATAATGTGTACCAACCCATCATGTGAAGGAAAACATGGATTTTTTAAAACATATATTAAAGATCCCTTATAAATACTTAAATGTTTACAGAATTACCTTAGCATTTCTCTTGATGATCTCTCTATTCATTAGCATTTTTCCGTCTGATAACTCGATCCCTGAAAGTGGAATAAGGACTTCTCCGATGATATCATCTCTTGAAAACCTGTCAAAACTCAACACTGTGAAGTGCAGGGACAACTCTTGGATGTGGGAATAAGGGATCCCATAGAAGGTGAAAGTTTCATCAAAAACAGGGTCCAGTGTCTTCCTCAGCACTCTGGTTTTCACTTTGTGTTTCTTCTCCGGCAAGATTGTCATTTTGATGTATGGGTCAGAGGTCATGGATTGCTCATCCATGGCTGGTAAACCCTGGGCTTCCTTGATGTTCACCACAAATGCTTTCTTCTCAAAGTTGTACTCTAGAGACAAGAAAAGTGTCCCTAGCTTCTCCTGTTTCTCCTCTTCAGTGAGGGAGGTGCTGGATTTCAAGCTCTCAGGGGAAATGGCCTCCTTTTCTGACTCTGTAAAGAGCTTTGGGGCTGCATTTTCTGGATCAGAAGAGCTGCCAGCTTTGAGGTTGCTTTTGGGGAAATTGCCGTTGAGATCTCGCTTCTCCAGATCAAGGTGCAGTGAAATTTTGGGCACAGCTGGTTTGTTCTTAACTTCGTTTTTGTCATCTCCTCCAAATTTCTTTTTGCTACTTAGGTTTTCAGGATAGATATCAACTCCTTTGAGCACGTGCACAAACTTGTATGGAGGAGTCTTGTTGGACTTCGATGATCTTCTCTGGCAGCAGATCCAGGCAAAGAGAGAGACAGTGAAGACAAGGCCAAATGCACTGAAGATGCCCACTACTGTGGGTATTTCATCTGAAAAACCAAATGACGAATGACGTACATTAAAGGATCAGAATTGAAGTGGGAGACCATAAGAACAGCATAATAGAGGTAGCCTTTGCTATAAGTTGGGAAAATTGAATTACTTCCCCACCATACCGCCATGAGTAATAGTGACATCTTTCACTAACTTTAAGTCTAAACATAGCCCTATGTGACACACATGAAATACATTATGGTTTTAAATGCCTTAACTTCAGTAGATTCTCATAAATAAATAAAAGTATATCTGGAACAAACATGGGGTCATGATTAATATTCTCGACCTGGCTTTGTTTTACTCAGTTATTATAAGTCAGGTACAATAATATGAGGTAGTACTATTTTCATTTTTTTTTTCATTGACATTTTGAGGCTTTCCAAAAGCATCAATCCAGGATAGATAGATAGATAGATAGATAGATAGATAGATAGATAGATAGAT